TAACTCACTCCCAAAGTATGTACCCCCTGAATATTTTATTTAGCCAAAGCTTAGTTGGAATGTTCTCTTCCTGCTTTATTTATTCATCTTACTTAGATTGTACAGTATTCCATCATTGCTCTCTTCTGCCCCTCCACTGATTTGCTCCTGTTAAAGTCATCCTGACCTTCTTCCCAAACCCATGGACACATTTCTGTTTTCATCCAGCTTCACTATTCTTTCTCACCCCCTTCCTTTCCCCTCCCACCCCTTTGCCCCATCTAAAATTCCTCCATTCCTCCCATGCTCCCCCTACCCATCGCCATTATGAGTCAGCATCCTCATATCAAAGAAAACATTCGGCCTTTGGTTTGGGGGGATTGGCTTTATTCACTTAGCATTATATGCTCCAACTTCATCTATTTACCTGCAAATGCCATGATTTCATTCTCTTTTAATGCTGAGTAATGTTCCATTGTGTATATATACCAAAGTTTCTCTATCCATTCATCTACTGAAGGACATCTAGGTTGGTTCTAAAATTTAGCTGTTGTGAATTGTGCTGCTATCAACATTGATATGGCTGTGTCCAAGGAGTGGGATAGTGGGTCAAATGGTGGTTCCATTCCCAGTTTTCCAAGGAATCTCCATACTGCTTTCCATATTGGCTACACCAATTTGCAGTCCTACCAGCAACATGTGAGTGTGCCTTTTCCCCCACACTCTCGCCAACACTTATTGTTGTTTGTATTCTTAATAGCTGCCATTCTGACTGGAGTGAGATGAAATCTTAGAGTAGTTTTGATTTGCATTTCTCTGATTGCTAGAGATGTTGAACATTCTTTCATATGTTTGTTGATTGATTATAGATCCTCTTCTGAGAAGTGTCCAGTTCCTTGGCCCATTTATTGATTGGGTTATTTGTTGTTGTTTGTTTGTTTGTTTGTTTTTGGAGTTTAGCTTTTTGAGTTCTTTATATACCCTAGAGATTAGTGCTCTATCTGATGTGCTTGTGGTAAAGATTTGCTCCCATTCTGTAGGTTCTCTATTCACCTCACTGATTGTTTCTTTTGCTGATAAGAAGGTTTTTAGTTTGAATCCATCCCATTTATTGATTCTTGGTTTTAATTCTTGCAATACAAGAGTTTTATTAAGAAAGTTGGTGCCTAATCCAACATGATAGAGATTTGGTCCTACTTTTTCTTCCATTAGGTTTAATTCCTAAGTCCTTAATCCACTTTGAGTTGAGTTTTGTGCATGGTGAGAATAGCTGGATATAAAATCAGCACCATAAATCAAAGGCATTTTTGTACATCAGTCAATTCTGCTGAAAGTGAAACTAGGAAAACCACCCCATTTACAATAGCCTCAAAAAAAAAAATAAGATACAAATTTAACAAAAGAGGTGAAAGACCTCCACAATGAAAACTATAACATGCTAAAGAAAGATATTAAAGAAGACCTTAGAAGATGGAAAGAACTACCTTGATCTTGGATAGGCAGAATTAATATTGTCAAAATGACCATACTACCAAAAGCACTATACAGATTTAATGAAACCCCAATCAAAATCCCAATGGAATTCTTTATAGAAATAGAAAAAGCGAGCATGAAATTCATCTGGAAAAAATAAGAGACCCAGAATAGCCAAAGCAATCCTTCTCAAGAAGAGTGAAGCTGGTGGCATTACTATTCCAGACCTAAAACTATACTACAGAGCAAAAGTAATAAAAACAGCATGGTATTGGACCAAAATAGACCTGTAGACCAATGGTAGAGAATAGAGGACACAGAGTGTAGCCCACATAACTTCAATTATCTCATATTAGACAAAAGTGCCAAAAACATGCATTGGAGACAAGATAGCCTCTTCAAAAAATGGTGCTGGGAAAACTGGAAATCCACATGTTTTTTCTACATCATTCTAGGGAATCTCTCCCCAGCCTCTCTGAGGACTCCTCTTTTTTTCTGTATAACTCCTAATATTACTGAGTTTCTTTCTCAATGATCTCTTTTCATCCTGTCTATTCTCACTCATTAATCTCTAACTAGTTAGTTTTTTTTTTTTTTTACTAACTCTAAGTCATTTATCCAAATTCCTATGTGTCTTACCTAGGTCTGTTATTCTTTCTCCTAAATATTTCCTTCCCATTCTTTTTATTTCCACTATTATTGTTTTTAACTAAGCCCAGTCATCACTTGTCTAGAACATTACAGTAATCTTGTAACTCTTTTCCTTAACTATCTTGCCTTCCAATCTACCACCTACTGATATAAACCTTGCCTCATAATTCAATTTTCCCACTACAACAAGCATTCTCTCTTTCTCCTTCTCCTCCTTTTATTTATTTATTTTTGCAAAACTTCATCCCCAGCCCTCAAGGTTACCTTCTAAAAAAAAGTTAAATGATTTAGGGCTGGGGATGTGACTCAGTGGTCAAGTGTCCCTTAGTTCAATCTCTAGTACCTATAATTTCTTGTGAGTCCCCAGTGTTTTGGACACAAATTTACACACTTCTTAAAATGAAACAGATAGCTCTTACATTATGAGCTAATTGCTGCCTATTTTTCAAGCTAATTTCCACTGATCTATCTATCATTGTGATGGCTTTAAGGATATTGATTATGTGCTCAGTCTGGTCGGAATCCATGGCACCAAAAGAACACTTGGCACAAAGCAGATACTTTAAACTTGTTATTTATATTCAAAATTATAAAACTCAGAAAATCAAAATGAACATGATGCTGCAATCAGTCCTTCTCAGTGTATCCCAATGCACTTCCTTCATAGGTGCACATGTCAAGCTTCTGCCATGGCTGAAGCTTGTGCTATTAAATTTTCACCCAAGGAACCACTATCTTTGCAAACTTCCCCAAACTGAATATGGTGATCACAAATGAGATATTATATGTGTGTTTCTGCGATTCTGGGGACTCTACCAGGAAATCTTATCAAAGACCAACTTGACTGTTCTCTAAGTATCTGGAAGATAAATGACTCATTAGGTCCCTCCTCTTCCATCCATACCCTTTCTTCTTTTCCAAGTGTCCAGTGCTCTCTTCTAGGCTCTCAAATACCCAGTCCTTCTCCCTAAACACTCATTTTCTAACATTTTTACTCACCTCACAAACAATTCTGCAAAACCAATTAGTCCCTCACATGTTTTTAAGTTGATATGCATTGTTTATCATAACTTTAAATAGAAGACCTTTAAGAAACAAAACTTTAACATATTCTAAATGTGCTCAATGAAAATGATATATCCCAGTGATTTGAAGCTCCCTATCATCCATTTAAAAACACATGTGCAAGTTCTTCAACAATAGGAAATTTTACATTATTCCTTTATCTCCTTAAAATTCTGTTTTCATTTCACTTTCTCCATAAAATTTTCTCCTAATATAAAATAGTTTATATGTCTCAAAGTTTGGATTGCATTTTGTTTTCTTTTTGGTACTAGAGATTGAACTAAGGGACACTTGACCACTGAGTCACATCCCCAGCCCTATTTTGTATTTTATTTAGAGACAGGGTCTCACTGAGTTGCTTAGCACCTCACTTTTGCTGAAGGTGGCTTTGAACGAGAGATCCTCTTGCCTCAGCCTCCTGAGCCTCTGGAATTACAGCCATGAGCCACCGTGCCTGGCTTGAATGCATTTTTAATACAATGAAAATATGTATACGTTGAAACTATTTTTGCTTCTTTTGACATTAGACAATAAGTATTAAGTTTTTTAAGATAAGTTATACCAATAATACTCATTCAGAATAATTATTCATTCAGAAAGATGAAATTATATAGTTTGATTAGTATTAAACAGAAAAAAAGTTTTATTTAAAATGCATTTTTCAGTGAGATGTATGGGGATTTTAAAAATAGTTCATGGATGAATTTTATTTACAGTTAGAATAAAACAGTATTTCACAAAAATTAAACTCTGTTTAGAAACAGAAAGAGTTTTGTTATACAATGCTTTTTAGTTATGTGAACTTTTTCCATGGGCATTTATTAAGAATTATGTAGTCCTCTCTCACAAACAGTTTTGTAAAGTGATCTATCTTCTAACTACTCAGTTCTTTCATTCTGTTTTTTGGGGAGGCAGAGCTGGAAACCATGCAACTTGCCTGAGGTTTTCTTACCTAGTTATTAAAGTCCTTCACTCTCTCAGATTCTGGGAAGTACACCAAAGGCTTTACCAAAATGTTTCAAATTACCATTAAAGAAATCTATTCCTCTTCCATTCACATAAAGTTCTTCAACCCAGAAGACTCAGAAAGGATTAAGAAAGTTTAAATATCATTGCCTTCAAAAACTTTTCCAATAAAATGCACTTTTTAAAATATTTTTTAAGTTGTTGTTGGACATGATACCTTTATTTATTTATTTTTATGTGGTGCTGAGGATCAAACCCTGTGCTCGCCCATGCTAGATGAGGCTCTACCGCTGAGCCCCAACCCCAGCCCCCAATAAAATGTATTTTGATAAATAATTTTAAATTTTCTCTTGTATTTTTGATTTGTTTTTGGTTTTTGGTCAAAACTTGGACTTTAGATTGTTTCATGGAAGGACAGTGCCCACCATATAACCCAGTTAAACCATCCTCACTATCAAACCAGTCAGCCTCACCAGATTTTCTATCAGAAAAATTCTAACTTCATTTTTGGTGTAAATAAACCAGGTAATGTGTGTGTCTCTGTGACATCAAGCTCACTTCTGCAGTCTGATTCTGAGATGCAGCACAGAAATGCAGACTTAATAAGATTTTGTCCTTTAATAATAAATTTAAACAATGTCCCATTCATTGTTTCTTACTGATCTTCTATTTTCTTGTAGCTCAAAGGACTCTCCATTCTGATTTAGTCCAAATAAGGAGCTTTTTGCTCTTTGATTAAGAGAAGGAACTTTCTGTAGTAATACAACTCCCAGCATACCTTTCAACAGAGTAATTCCTAAAGGGGTGTGTCTTGTGACAAAACTGCCGAAAGTCCCCGGTGTTGAATTACACAACCGTGTTCTGAGACAGTGACAGCATTTGTTTTCTTTCAGATTCCAACTTCCTGAAACCAAGGCTGTTTATGAGAAACAGTATATTTCGGAGACATTGTACTGGAATTAATTCTTTCCAGAGTCAGATTTGCTGGATCTTAAAGTGTTTTTCCTCTTCTTCGAGATAAAAGTGAGTATCAGCCTTCAAATGAGTAATTGCAGTAGATGTTGTTTATAAAGGATGGCATTATGTGTACGGAAGAACTTCCTCAAATTGTAAATTACTGTATACTTGCTGACCCTATTCATTAACATATCTTGTTTACATTTAAATGACTTTGGTACTCTAAGAACATCTACACTTCTGAAAATTCCTCAGACGTGGGTGAATAGAGGGATGGGATGGAGGAGGGGTGAGGAGAGGTGGGGAAGGGCTACTTACCTACAGTGATAAACTTCAGTATTGTGAAGAGGAGAAAATGAGTAAGTTTTTTTTTTTAATAAGGCTTAATAATAAGGTGCTTACGTCACAGAGCTTGTTAGACCTGCTAATGAACATCTGACCTTATTTTGTCACTGAATCAAGATGTTTGATTAAAGCTTTAAAGAATTGTTGAGATTACTTAGTTTAAAAACCAACCTTGGTACTTTGGTTTAACTGCATAAGAAGTAACCTTAGAAACAACTTCTTTTTTGATGGAATCAATAACTTTGCTAAGAAGCAGGTAGATAAAAGTTACTCTTGACACATGGGAAGAACTGGCAGGAATTCTGGATGTGGGCAAGCATTACATAGTGAGAATGAAAATCTAAATTCCTTCCTGTGTCTAGTTAGAAGAATCCTTTCATTGAAGAATTTTATCATTTGCCAGGTCTGGTGGCCCCTGTAATCAGGAGGCTGAGGCAGGAGGATCATGAATTCAAAGCCAGCCTCAGCAAGAGTGAGGTGCTAAGCAGCTCAGTGAAACCCTGTTTCTAAATAAAATACAATAAAAGGGGGTAGGGATGTGACTCAGTGGTCAAGTGCCCCTGAGTTCAATCCAAGATACTCACCCCTCCAAAAAAAATTTAGAATTTGAACGGAGGACTCTAGCTTACTTTGGAAAGCCACAAATTAAAACCTTTAATATTATTTGAGATTTTAAGAAGGCTTATGGCAGAAGCAGGACCAGAAAACAGAGGACTTTATGACGCAACCTAATGGCATCTCTATTTCTAATATTTGCTTTTATCTCCCTCTCGGTTTTTGTTTTGTTTTTTAACTTAGCGTCTCTAACATTTTTACATATCGACTCTGGGTTGGGTGATATCTCATCTTTAAGAACACTTTAAATTTCTCTTATGTATTCGCTGTCACTGTCCAAGCATACACATGGGCGCTAGCATCATCTCCCCAAACATGATGGAGAGAGCAAGTGTAACTGTGCCACAGATCCCAGAGGCCTCCAAGTCTGGGTGGTGTGCCACGGATTTCATGTCTGTAAGGTGTATATACTTTCTCATGGGGGTGGATGTCAGCAAAATTACCTCCTGGGGGACACTCCAGAAATGAACAAATGCCAAGTCAAGTCATTATGACTGCTGAACCAACAATTAACTTCTCTCATCTCCTTCCCAACTCTCCAGCCTGGAAAGGAGCAAAATACTTAAAATTATTCTAAAAATAACTTCCTCCCCACTTTAAAGATCATATGAATCTGAGATGGATCTAAAGTTCTTCCCCCCATAAGACACCAAAATGTTACAGCATCCCTACCTGCACAAGAAGGAAGCCAATAATTAATTTACATTTAAAAAATGTATTTAAAATTTTTTCAAAAACTCATGTAAATCAAATGACAGATGTTATAAAATCTTATATATGATAATACTGAGTGGTGAGCATGGCTGATCTGTTAATCTGGAATGGTACTTCTCCTATAGGATCTAGTTTGGGGTTTCAAATCTGGAATTTTCCTTAAGAATACATGTGTGTGTGTGTCAAGATATTTCTGAATTCCATGACTCCTACCATTCTAAAGAATTTTACAGATCCCTTTCCCCTGAACACACACATATCCTGCCTTTTCTGTCCCTTAATTTTTCAATAGAATGATGTTTGGGGGCATAAGCTGTTCTTTGTAAAGAGTTTTTCTTCTTGAAATTTTAAGCACCTAGAGGCTGAATAATTTACAGGAACTTGCATTCACATTTCTGGTACAAACACAGTCCCTATGCTTGTTATTGTCATTGACACCTCTCTAATGGGGGAGTCTTTGTTTCTTGATATTAACTGTGACATCTTGGATGTTGCTATTTGCTTTATTTATAGTGTGTTAAGGATAAACAAACTTAAAAACAAGACTATTAGCTGGTGCTATCATTCTGTGTCTGAAAAACAGAAAGAGATGATTATAGCCTAAATAGCAGATAGATACAAATACAGTTTCTCTAAAGTATAACATACCTACTACTAACTATAGGTGACATTTTTAACCATTAAAAATTTGAATTACACATTTAGTTTGATGTGAGCAAAAATTATAATTACTTCATAAAAACTCTGATTTTATATATATATTATTGGAAGACACTAAATAAAAAGAAACTGAGATGATTTACTATTGAATTAAGAAACAAATAATACTACAAGTAACATGCAGATACAGCAAAAACAGTGACACCCAAATGTAGCTATGTTGCCCTAATGCATTTGAGACGTGGATATTTTCTAAACCAGTGCAGTGTCTCTGAATTTCACTGGTCTTGGGTTACATCGACCAGTTGATAATATCACCTGTCAAATTTCCTAGTTACAGATGTAGAATATATTTGATGAATAAAGAAGTACTACAAAGTGGCTGGGATTGTAGCTCAGTGGTGGAGTGCTTGTCTCTCACATGTGAGGCACTGGGTTTGATACTCAGCACTACATAAAAATGAAAATATTGTGTCCATCTACAACTAAAAAAAATTTAAAAAAAAGAAATGCTACACATTTCATTTTGAATTATTATAAAACTGATGGAATGCAGAAGGTGGCCAATATTTTTTGAAATAGAATCACAAAAATGGTGAATTGTCCCAGAATGAGAGCTATGGCTCCCTTCTGTTGGTCTGATTAAGACACACAAAGACCTCTACATTGAGGGATGGGGAACTCCAACATCATCTGGGTCAAGCACCATTGATGTATCTTATGCCAAAGGTCATTGAGAAAATGGTCATGTCCAGTAACTCTATTTCTGGGAATCCATTCTTGGAAGGAAATAATTCTAAGTAGGGAAAAAATTCACACAGATATTCATCACAAAGGTATTTATAATAACCAAGAAGTTCAAGCATTCTAACAAAGGGGAAAGTTTAAACAAATTATAGTCTGCCTGTAAACCATGCTGGAATGAAGGATAGTAGTATCAGCACAGGAAATGTTGAGTGAAAAATTGATTAAATATCAACTATTATAATTAAAACTTTTAAATACATGCATAAAATGGCATAGATAAAAATTCATAAATTTATGTGGTTGTTGTAGGCAGCTAATTGTTTTTCTTCCTGTCTCTATTTCTCTGAATATACTATGATTAAAAAAAACTTTTGGGGCTGGGGATGTGGCTCAAGTGGTAACGCGCTCGCCTGGCATGCGCAGGGCACTGGATTCGATCCTCAGCACCACATAAAAAATAAAATAAAATAAAGATGTTGTGTCCACTGAAAACTAAAAAATAATAAATATTTAAAAATTCTCTCTCTTTCTCTCTCTCTCTCTTAAAAAAAACTTTCATTGGATTTTTAAAAAATGCTTAATGCATTTCATCTTCTATGTAAGGTTATTGGGCATATATAATTATTTTAAAAATTTATTTGTTCTTTTTAGTTATACATGACAGTAGAATGTATTTGGACATATTATACATACATGGAGTACAACTTCCCATTCTTGTGATTGCACATAATGTGGAGTTACACTGGTCATGTATTCATATAGGAACATAGAAAAGTTATGTCTGATTCATTCTACTGTCATTCCTATTCCCATCCTTTTCCCTCCCCTACATTCCCCTTTATCTAAATCTAATAAACTTCTATTCTCCCCTATCCCATTATTGTGTGTTAGTAACCACATATTTGGTTTTTTGGAATTGGGTTATTTCACCTAGCATGATAGTCTCCAGTTCCATCCATTTACTGGTAAATTTCATTCTTCTTTATGACTTAATAATATTCTTTTGTGTATATATACCACAGTTTCTTTATCCATTCATCTGTTGAAGGGCACTTAGCTTGGTTCCATAGCTTAGCTATTGTGATTTTAGCTGCTATAAACATTGATGTGGTTGAGTCAGTATAGTATGCTGATTTTAAGTTCTTTAGGCTTATGCCAAGGAGTGGGATAACTGGGTCAAATGGTGGTTCTATTCTAAGTTTTCTGAGGAATCTCCAGACTACTTTCCAATAATAATTGTACCAATTTGCAGTCCTATCAATGTATAAGTGTGCCTTTTCCCCCCACATCCTCACCAATATTTATTGTTACTTGTATTCTTGACAGTTGCCATTCTGACTAAAGTGAGATGAAATCTCAGTGTAGTTTTAATTTGAATTTCTCTAATTGCTAGAGATGTTGAACATTTTTTAATATATTTGTTGATTGATCGTATTTACTCTCTGTGAAGTATCTGTTTAGTTCCTTAGCCCATTTTTTATTGGGTTATTTGGTTTTTTTGGGTGTTAAGTTTTTTAATTCTTTTTATATCCTGGAGATTAATACTCTGAGTTGTGGAGGGCAAAGATTTGCTTCCATTCTGCAGGTTCTCTCTTTACATTCTTGATTGTTTCCTTTGCTGTGAAGAAGGTTTTTAGTTTGATACCATTACACTTATTGGTTCTTTATTTTCATTCTTGCGCAGTAGGAATCCTGTTGAGGAATTCAGTTCCTAAGCCGACATGATGGATATTTGGTCCTATTTTTTCTTCTATTAGGCACAGGGTCCCAGATCTAATGCCTAGGACTTTGATCCACTTAGAATAGAGTTTTGTTCAGGGTGAGAAATAGGGGTCTAATTTCAACTGGCTACATGAGACAACTGAATTGACGTGGGTTTATGTTTGTGTTTTCTATTTCTATTTCTATTCTATTGGTGCCAATACCATGCAGCTTTTGTTACTATAGCTCTGTAGTATAATTTAAGTTCTGGTATCTTGATGCTT